CCTACAATTTCCCCTGCGATGCCAAGCTGCCCGACTTTACGTTTGGCATCGAGGACGCCAAGTTTACTATCCCGGGCGAGTTTATCAACTACGCGCCCACTTCGGAAGACCCGACTATCTGCCAGGGCGGAATTCTGGGCATCGGTACCATCCCTGAGTGGCTGGGTGAGATTAGCATCTTCGGCGATGTTGCTCTCAAGGCTTCGTTTGTCGTCTATGATGATGGCAAGAACCGCCTTGGCTGGGCTAAGGGGGCTTGAAGAAAACTACCTAGGTATACATTATTGGGGTTGTTGGGGACGGGGTTGTGAATTCAAGACGATTATAGCTGTTGTACTTTGTGCGGGTACTATAGTAGTATTTGAGAAAGGATTAGTTTCCCTGCAAAACGTCTGTTTGTGTCTCAACTTTGACGTCGAACCTGATTCCATCGCATGTCTTACTACTCATGGCGTAAAGAACACATAGATATAAAGGGTGCTATAAACTGTGATGAAAAGATTATAAAATATAATATAATAGCATGTTTCAAACCAACCATGACTTACATGCAAATGCACGACCAATAGACTGCTCAGGAGTCGAGGACCCACTCGCCTTTTTTGGATGTCGCGACTCGCAGATCCAAGCACATGCCAGCTCGAAAAGCAGGTACCGACCCAGTGACGTCGTCCAACTGGCCAGTCAGGACAGACCAGACATGTGTCAATAATGCTTCACCACAAGCTTCCTTACCGCCTTTCGACCTCGGAATACGCTCAAACCGCCCAACGGTCTCCGTCGTCCTAGTTTGCGCGCGTATCAGCCAGCCTCTCGCAGCCCCAGCCAGACCCGTTCTCGGGCGGCAAGCTTCACGACGTCGGCGCTACGCATTGGAGCCAGGTGCGCCTTGCGCTCGCAGTACCAGCACCAGCAGCCTCTTGGTTTTCCTCTTGCTGCCGCGAAAACCGTACACCCCGTCGCATGGCTGTCCTTTGGGGCCCGCCCGCCGAAAATGCCTCCCGCACCGGGCGATAAGAAACCTGAAAAGTCCTACTTGAGCTCTGCGGTCGACGTCATCTACCCGTGGTCGAGCAGTCGCACGGCGACGCCCGCGCCGGAGAACAAAAAGGACGAAGGGAAGGCCGCCGTGGCTGATGGGACTGCTACGCCCAAGGCAGCGGCTCCGGCCGACCATGCAATAACGCCATTCTATGGGCAGAGCTTCCGGACGTATCCCAAGGATTGTCCGCCACTAAATGTGCAATGGTTTCATGCGGCCGATGTAGGTATGCGAATGCTTGGATGAAGTCTCGGGGCTGACGTGACTCAGGTGCCGAAACGGAAACCGAAGCTGATCAAGGGACCGAAGAAGGAGGACAAGGAAGCAAAACCGCCTGTTCGGCCGAAGAAGTTTACCCCATTCTCCGAGTCTGACTCGCGGAGGACGGAAGCACGCTATCAGAAGCTTTTGGAGGCGGTAGAGGAAAAACATGACGCTCTCAGAGATTCTCAAAATAGGCCCTCAAAACGACCCAAGTCGGATAAATCTGACACTCTTGACGACTCATATCGGGGCCATACCCGGGTTCCTGTCAACGAGGACTACCTGTTTGATCTTGACATTGAAGAGAGGGAACTCGCGCCGGTGTACTGGTTAGGGCCAATTTATGAAGGTTGGAAACATGTTGAACTTGTGGTATGGAACATTTGTGCTGACGATTGTGGCCAGTACGACGTGGCACTTGGTTCTTCCAGGAGGGCTCGGGTTTGAGACCTTGCGAAGAGAACCTTGCAGCTCAGCTAGAAGAGGTAGGTGTTCACACTAATTGGAGGTCGAGTGGCATGTGTCCTAATCAAAGCAGGGCTACTTGAAAACGAAACCGTGGCTGTTTCCTGGTATGCAGTGGATAAAGGTATTGGGTATTGAATCATGCTGACGGTAATCACAGGTCGGGCCCGAAGCAAGTCTGAAGTAAAGGACACTGCAGGGTCTGCCAAAACAGATAAACCTCACGCAACGGCGGACCAAACGTCCCCGACAGCTACAGCCAGCATGCAAAAGCCACCGGCGGGTACCACCCAGGCGCCGCAACCACCACCAACATATCGTCTATTTGGTGCTTATATGAACAATGTCGCTACATATGAGGACTCAAAAACCGCTTGGATGACTACCGATGGCATGCTCTCATGGGTAGCTGCCTCGGTGTATGAACGGTTCGCTGGTGGTGGCTACATGAGCGGTGTCAAATTGATTAGAGGGTATTCTGAGCCTAAAAAATCCAAGGACAAGGAGGAGACGAAGCCTGTGGCAGAAAATCCCGATATTCCGGGCCTAGACGAACGACAGCAGAAACTGCTGAAGAGAAGATCAGCTCCTCCGGCCACGCGAGATTCGTTAGAGGACTTGGGATATAGCCAAGTTGTAAAGAAGGAGACCCAGGAACGGGAGGCAAAGCTGCAGCGGCAATTGTCTTCCCTTATTGAGAGCGAAGGGCGTACCGCCGAAGAAACCGAGGAACAAATCAGAAAACGCGACGAGCAGGAAATAGAAGACGACTACAATGCACAGGATGGCGAGGCTCAGGGGCGTGAAATTGAGCATTTAGTTCTTGTAACTCATGGCATCGGACAAAGACTAGGTTTGCGGTACGTTGCTTGCTGAGTTACATGTTGCATGGCTTGCTAACTTTTACTACCCAACAGCATGGAAAGTTTAAACTTTGTTCACGATGTCAACATCTTGCGCAAGACTACCAAGTCTGTGTACAGCAACTCAGCAGACTTGAAGGCACTCAACTCTGAGCTTGGTGCTGGGCCCGGGAACTGCAGAGTGCAAGTTCTTCCTGTGTGCTGGAGACACTTGATTGAGTTTCCCAGGCAACAGCAGAAAAAAGCCGAGCACGATCTAGGCGATGCTACAGATGAGGATGATAGCTGTGAGATTTCCGATTGGATGCTGTTGAGAGATCGTATACTGATTACCAACCAGACCCTTCACTCGAAGACATAACCGTGGAAGGGGTTGCCTTTGCCAGATCCCTAATTTCGGACCTCGCGCTCGATGTTTTACTCTATCAAAGCTCGTACAGGGAAGAGATTTCCAGGGTTGTTGTGGCAGAGACTAATCGAATTCTGAAACTCTTCCGAGAGAGAAACCCAGAGTTTAAAGGGAAAGTGCACCTCATGGGTCACTCATTGGGATCTGCCATCTTCTTTGACGTTCTCTGCCGTCAGAGGGAGAGGCATCCTGGTGAAACTCGCCACCCGCTCCGATTCTGGCCCTCGCACAACCGACCTGAAATCAGGCCAAAGGACGAGGAGCTGGAGTTCAATTTCGACGCCTCTGATTTCTTCTGCCTCGGGTCTCCTGTTGGCTTGTTTCAAATGCTGAAGGGGAGGTAGGTCGCATGGCTTGTTGTAAAGAGGTGCTGGACAGACACTAACGGTTGCCAGGACTATTGCTGGCCGCCATTCGCCAAATAGCTTGCCCTCAGAAAGCCCGATGAATCCCGAATACACTGATGATCCGTTCCTGACAGCGCCTGCAGGTACAGGCATGGATGGCATTTCTCCAATCAGCGGTCTGCCCATGTCGGTGTCATCGCCCAAAGCGGAGCAGCTCTTCAACATCTTCCATCCATCCGATCCCATTAGCTACAGAATGGAGCCGCTGATTTCCCCTGCCATGGCGTCACTGAAACCGCAAGCCCTTCCGTACACCAAGAAGGGAATCTTTGGCAATGTCGCGCCGCAGGGCTTAACAGGCATCGGAGCCAAAGTCGGCCAGAGCGTCAGCGACCTGTGGTCGAGTCTAAGCGCCGGCATCGCAAGCAACATACTCAACCGCAGTCTTGGCATTACCAACGAGGAGGTTGCGCGTCTTGCTGCGGAGGAGCACCATGGGGACCAGAAGAGCGAGGCGACTGGCAGTCAGGAAGCGGCGGAACTATCGGATGAAAGAAAGAGGCAGCTGGCTGAAGCGGCGGCCAGAGGACGTCGTGTGAGCGACAATGGCAATTCGGTGACACTCATTGACGACGAGCTGGAGACGCTGTATTCGACGTTCCAGAAGCGGCACGACATGGTGTATCCGGACGAGGAGATGGCTCATGTTAATGACGAGTCACGCAAGGCTCGTAAGCTGCGGGTAGAGGAGGCCAAGGTGCGGGCGCTGAACAGAAACGGCCGTGTTGACTATAGCATTCAGGAGTAAGTGTGTCGTCGATGGCGCCCGATGAGTATCGTGCTAACGCCCATGCAGGAGCGCCTTGGACTTTAATCCGATCAACACGATTGCGTCGCACATGAGCTACTGGGCGGATGAGGATGTCACTCATTTTGTTTTGTCTCAGCTTTTGTCTGGGAAACCGGTGGATAAAAGTGCTAAATGAGTTGTACACGAGGTATCGGAGACTGGTGCAAGGTCATGATGTTACGTCTTGGGAATTGGTTTATGCGCACATGTACATATTGCCTCGTACTGCGGTGGGTTTGACGCCTTGTATAGAATTGGCTGCAATAGATGGAGTTGACGACGTATCTGATAATCTGACTTGCTGTAGTTGGACTGGTGGGAAGACGGCAAGGGCCATGACGAGCTGCTGGTTCAAGGAGCTTTGTGCATTGAGAAATATGATGCCGTACGAGGGAGGCGTGGGCATGAACGTTTGAATGCTAGGCGTTACTTGCACGGCCTGGAATGCAGCACGGAGACCCACTAGCACCGACTGGATGGGCCAAGATTGAATCAATTCAAATTGTCAATTATTTATGCGCTACTCCGTACGGAGTACACATGTATAACGGGCGGCACGAGGCGCCGAGGCTTGGCAGGGTCCTGTCCACAAAATGCCGAGCCATGGCGGCGGCGTGACGCGGAGGAAGCCGGCAGCCCGGCCAGCCGCACTTGGGGATCCTATCTACCCAGCTTTCGGGGTTGATTTCCCCCTGGATACAGATTTCGTCGGGGAAGATGTGCGACATGAGGTTGCCCTGCCGTTTATTTGCCTGCCGCGTTAGTGTCCGCCCACAAGCCGACTTTGTCGTGCGTGCGCATGGTGCTGGCGTACCCCGTCTGATGCGTAGTGGCAGCTCTGGCGGCCGAAGCAGAGTTGGTTCTTGGCCGGTTTCCAGGACGAGCTTGCCTGCGCACTGGCTGCGGCGAGCATGGCGACGATGCTGAAGAGGGTTGTCGAGGGGACCATTTTGGTGTGAGGGGAGGGATGCCGCTTGGTGGCTTTGGTAAAACGCCGCCGAGGAGGACTGCATCGAATATATATATATATATACATACATCAAGTTGTTTGTTGTTTCCCTCTCAGGTCAAATGATAATACGAGCAATATATACACATGGCCACTTCTGTGGGGGCTCGACTGCCTATGCGTCTCCCCTCGCTGATAGTCTGGTGCTGGGGACGCTTTGAAGCACAAATTACAATCATACGATGGTGGTACACGGGAATGGACGTGTTACACAAGGCCTACGGTCACGGGACCTGGGGTAAAATCCCTCACCGACTGCTTGTATTTAGAGAGGCCTTTGGTCCCTCAAGGCCTTGAGGAAAACCAAGGACCTTTGATATCAAAGCAAAGTATTGGCTGAATATGAACACCGTCCCAAGTCCCTCCACACAAGGCCCTTGTCACACACACCAAAAGCTTATATAGGAATGTTTATGTGTAGCGAGTCACCGGCTAGATTGTTACGGCTTCGAGGCTTCGGTTGATCCCACAAACGTGATTGAACTATAGCGTCTACTTGACCAGGCTTGAAATCCAGCTAGCAACTTCAAACCTGTGCTTCTCAGAAATCTACCCTTTGTAACAGGCCGAAATGGACGCGGCATGTCTATTTATTGAGTTGGTGCCGCATCTTGGCTCTTGGTGGGCGGAGGTTCGTGTGACAAGGGCCTTGTGTGCAGGGACTTGGAACAGTGTTCATATTCAGCTAATACTTTGCTTTGATATCAAAGGTCCTTGGTTTTCCTTGAGGCTTTGAGGCCGGAAGACCTTTATTTATATCAAGAGGCGGTGAGGGACCTTGCCCTAGGTCTCGTGATCAGAGCCCTTGTGTAACTATCGTCGGGTTCAAGGCTCGGCTCGTGCCTTCATGGCAACGTGTCATCCGTGTAACAGTTCGTCACCAACACCTTCATTCTTGCCCTTGTTGAAGTTGTCCTCGCCGTCGTCGACAATCTGTTGGGCCGTATAATGTGCGTCCTGGGCGGGCTGACTGACGTCTCTGGTCAGAGGTTCAAGCTGGTTTCTCGGCCGGCTAAGAGCGGCCTGCAGACCTTGGGCAGCCAGGGCAACTGTGCTACCGAAGTAGCTGAGTACATCGGAAGCATTTCACGTCAGTACTGACAAGAGATGAAGTTAAAGCGGACCATGTTGACGGGATGGCTGTGTTGGTGTATTGCTATTGCTGTTACTTTTCTTAGTAACAGTAAAAAAAGGACAAAGCCTCAATGGCTCCCTTATATAGAGCTCGAATACCCAAATTGCTTCTGGACCCTGGCATATTTCGAGTCATGCTTAGATGGGATACCCTCTTCGGCGCAGCACGTCAGTTGTCTGCTGCTGAGTGGTCATGATAATCGCATAAGTGTTTCGTCTGATTCTGAATCGTACGACTGATCACTTGCTTCTTTCCAAAAGAGGAGCCTCTTTGCCGTGCCGGCCAACTTTAAAACAGGGTTGGATATTCTCCATACCGAGCATTGCAGGAGGCAGGGCTGCCCAAGCCGGGAGCCCCAAGCCGGGAGCGAAGGCGTCTGGTGATCTGTTTCAGAAAGAGCGGTTGAGTCAGGCGAGTTAAGCGCCCGGCAGCTGGGCCGGTAAATCAATGCGCAGTGGAGCGTGACGAGACCAACAAGGCGTATTTTCCTGGTGCAGTCTGGTCATCTTCTGGGCCAAGGCAGATTCGAAGCAAGACATTCCGTTCCCCGGCGACTACCAACATCTCGACTCCACCATTCGCCATGCGTACCAGACTTTGGAATTGCCATGTTGTACAACACTTGTATTGATTAAAATAATTTCAGAAACAAAGATAAGAAGAAAGGGCTAGATGATCATGCAAGACATCTGGGGACCCTATGTTTTGGCCGATACACTTATCCCCACAGCACTCATGCATGCTGCTCCCAATAGAGGGAAGCCAAGCGAAAAAACTCGGGGCGCTTCCAGCTAATTGCATCGAGTCTGGCACCCACGTGCATGCCTCCAGCCGCAACGCCTGACTAGCCCTTGCACAATGTAAAGATTAAAAAGGACGAGCAAAAAAAAATGTTAATTAAAAAAAAAGGCAAAAAAAATGTTTAGCTTCTCTTTGATTGAGCGTGTCATCCTTAGTGCAGGGGCCATGCTAATCTTCTCTGTGCGTATGTTAGTAACAGAGTTCGAACCGTCGACCTTGTGGAGGAGGAAATGTGGGTACTGACCTGTATCGTTTCAAATAAACCAAATGCCCGAAGGCGAAGGAAGGAGCAGTATTTAGCTTTATATAGTCATACTTTTGTGGGCCGCTCGGCCGCAAGCGCAGCGTCGCACAGTATATGGACGATAAAAGCGCTCATAAAATACGTAACGTGACCAGATAAGTGTCTCGATATGTCATCATGTACAACGCAGCAATGAGGGGATAAAAAGCGAGGCATACTGGACAAAAGCGACAAGGCGGCCTGGCGGGAGAGACGGGGAATTGGGACATCATGTACCGTACGAGGGAGGGTGGGCTGGTAAAAAAAATTTTCCCTTTCATTCTATGGATTTGGTGTAATTCTCTATTTGAAACCAAGGGATAAATAAGACATGCAATCTTGTGGTTTGCGTGTCTCAGTTCCTTGTTGGTAGCCTCGTCGAAATTATCTTCAGACTGCTCCGGTACTGAAGCAACACAAACAAACGTCTGAGGGCCGGAAGTATTGTGGGCACAGCTTGTAACAGTTCTTCAGTATAAAGAGGTGCAGTACTAAAATACCCAGAGCGCCAGTGCCTAGACGATCGCTATTTGTACCAGTAATACGAGAAGCACTGGGAGTTAATTTGGAAGTTCAAGCCCTAAGCCCTCTGGTTTTATAACTCCATTTGACTACTCTTTATTATCTCTTGAACACTTATGAACACGAAAGCCCTGGTCTCAGCGAGGCCCTGATAAAGGGGTAGGTAAAGTGGCGAGAGGCGGATATTCACCCCTTGATCGAAGCTGCCAGAAGGTCTGCGGGAGTCATGAAAGTGCTATTTGTCACGGATGGCTTCAATCTTTTATCAACTGTTTTCGACCAAGGATTCTGCCTTGACATAGTTTGATACATGATGGCAAGGCGCAGAGACGGAAGGTAGGGTCAGATCCTGATGCTTGCCAACGTGCCACATTTCATCACGTAAAACGCAGGCCAAGCTCCGCTTTCACCAACCATTGAGCTGTTTATGGTGATGCAGCTGCCACATGAGGAGGGGCGCTCCGGCCTAATAAAACCGTACGGGGGTTGTAATGTCGGTTACATCGATGTCATGCGGGATATGAAAATCTACTTACTCATGACATGAGGCTCCGAGTTGGAAAATCCATACAGTAAACTTTATCCATATCCCAGAGCCCTGGAATATATTGTCTTTGGCGCCGTAGCCCATGTTTCCCTGCTAGGGGCACTTGGGAAGCATCTCGCTGTATTACCCGAATCAGTCCTCGGCCCGTCCAGTCCTCCCTAGCCCTACAGCCCTGCAGAATAAAGTTCGAAGATAGTGTGCGAGGGAAAAAGAGCCTGGTCAATATGGGATAATTCCCCCCTACCGAAGAGAAGCTTGATCTACCGAACACAGCCTCATGCCAAGCTTGGTAAGGGATGTCGCTACGGCTATTAGGTTGGACCATCAAGCTACAAAGGAAGTTCTATTAATAACGTTTGACAACGTACATCCCTACTTCTCGGCTTCAGTACTCTCGTTGGGCGTTTTTTGGTTTCAGACAAGTGTCGGCTCGAAAAGATACGCCTTGTAGCCGTCAAGGATGGACTGATTATCGGCACGACAGCTTCCGTATGCCGTAAGGTCATTCTCATTTTGATACAACGGGCGTCTTATTCAGTCAAGCTGTGAGATATCTGTTCTTGGAGGAGAAATTTTATCGACCCATGGGTCTCCCCCTGCATGTAATTATTGAGTGCTAGCCAAACCGTGTGTTTATAGTTACGAAATCGAAACTGCCCCTTATTATGCACGCCTGTCCGGGCGTCGGGAACTGATATCCCATCTTTGGGAGACTAATTACAAGATAGAAATGGAATTCGTTTTCTTGCATGTGCAATCATGGAGCTTGAAAACGAGTCAATGACGAGTTTTGACATCCTGAACGGCAAGCTACCAAGCACTGTTGGCCAGCTAATACGGCCACTTCAGCTTCACAAACTACCAGAATAAAGAAATCCAAAGGAGGATTCACGGTTCTCATGATATGGACTATGCGAGAATTAGCAGATATGTTTCCTGATATAAATCAGACTGGTCAGTGGTGAGCTCAAGGCTCATCCCTGCACAATATTGAAATGAATACCCGCATGCATGCATCAAGAATGGCTGGAACTAGTTCACTCTATACTAATGCGTGACTCGGCCAGCCAATTGAGCCAGGTTTCACCTTTCCGGGTCCCCAGAGTGTGCAAATGGCCGTTTTCAGCCTCAGCAACGTGAGCATTGAGCGGTGTCGCATCGTCTCACACAGCCACGCGAACGCCAAGTCGGAAGAGACTCCAACAAAATCCACTTTCTTCGACCCCAACCTCTTATGGACAACAGTGCTGGGACCCTCATGGTGCGATCGCACGGGACTTTTATTCGCGCGGAATGGGACGGTTGTGGCGTGGAGGCAAGAGTTGGCCGGCAAAGACGGAATGGTGCAGCGACGTAGAAGTCCTGCTGCGCGAGTTTAATAGGGCCACTCGGTTATGACAATACGATTTGATGGATATGTGTAGTCGCAAAGACTTGGACTGTTACCAATGAGGAGATGAGATACAAGAGATGGGACTATATTGTGCCGCGTTCCCGTCAGTCAAGGCGTCTTGTCAACGTCCACCAGAAGGGTTCCCGATTTCCAGAATTCATCAGCCACCGCATACATCGAATGAACAGTGCGCAGCATCGCCGGGGTGCTATATTTGGAAACCTCGAAAGCTTGTTAGTCAACTCCACTAGTTGCCATA